TCCAAGCATTTCCCTCTATACCTTTTCGTTGCCTGGACTAGTTATAGGTATTCATATTTATAATATCAAAAGTATTTATTCTTAACTTATAACTTAACATTCTCTTTATCTATCTCTTACGGTTTGGCCGCTGAAACAGCACCACAGACAGACGGACGGACGGACGGACTTGTCTAATAGATAAGAGATAATTGAAACAAATAATATCAGAATGGTTTGTGTCGTATGTCAAATGAATGAGAAAGAGCCAACCTATTCATTCAAAGATTTACAGTCTACAAGAACAATACTCATTCATGTGACCACCATTTAAAAATATTCGTGCTCCTCCTCTCCTGTGCTGTTGACGTACGTTTGTGTCAGTGTGTTTTGTTTGTGAAATCCTACAAAGAAGTTAAAAAATGGGTAAGTTATCAATTCTTTATACATTTTTTTTATATTTAAAAAAAAACCGTGCACTTCTCCATGCTTTAGTTATTGAATAATTCGAAGACAAACAAAAACAACCTAAAACTTTTTTCCTACTATCCATTTTTCATTATTTTTTTTTCTATTTTATTACTTTATTAATTTATCCTAGTTTTAATTCAAACTTACAGCAAATTTACGAAAGAAGTTAGATTTTACAAAACATTTGTACTTATAAAGATACTTTCACAATAAAATTCAAATATTGTAGGCAAACCGCAAAACGTTCGCAAGACGCACGCACACATGCAAAACATGACGTTTATGCGTGTGCGTGAATTGGTACGGCTATTGAACAAGGGTGTTCTTTTTATCTACTGTTTTGAATGAAGTGTTTGTTCTGATTTGAAGATAATTATTTATTGAGATTTTATGTTCAACTATGAACGTACTTAGGTACCTAAATTTTTTAGCATATGTTAGGTGATTAGATTTGTCCAGTAGTGATGCTGTAGCATCGATAGGTATATGTAATCGATTATAAATACAGGGTAAGCGAGAATCCAAGGGACCCGAATGTTATTCTCGCATATTAGAGGTTTCTCACTAAAGCAGTTTGTCACTTACAAAGGTTTGAGTGTAGTTACTCTAGAGGTTAATAAAAGTCGAGAAACATGGTGTTAGAGCGTTAAAAAATACACACATAATAAGTACACATTTTGTTTTTAGATCAGTTAATTTTTCTGAGTGTCGTTCTTACAATTATGAATCTGTTTTTCAATTTCATAAAGTTTATCAAAAATTGAAGAATCAATTTTATAAATTCTTTTTTTTTATATAAAAGGTAGATTCCGGCAAATTAAAATCTATACTTATAATAAATCTGTAGAGATGTCAAATCTGTACATCAAATATATTTTCAAAATAACTATCAGGGGGTGATTAGTGATCGATACTGATGCTAAAAATGCAACCAGTAAAATTTTTGTCTGTCTGTCTGTCTGTCTGTCTGTCTGTGTGTATGTTCCTTATAGAAACAAAAACTACTCGACGGATTTTAACGAAACTTGGTACAATTATTCTTCATACTCCTGGGCAGGTTATAGTATACTTTTCATCACGCTACTATCAATAGGAGCAGAGCAGTGAAGGGAATTGTTGGGAAAACGGGAGAAGTAACTCCATTTTTTAAATTTCCGTCGCGTGTGCAGCCTTAATGGTTAAAGTTACATAGAAATTATGTATGACGGAAATATTCTACATAAAATTATCTAAAAAATATCCCGCAATAGCATATGTCTATCTTTTATGGTTGACTCACAATAACACGTGTAACTCCTGATAGCTTAGCAGATCGGAGCATTCTGATTATATTTGATACGATTTTCATTTTTTTTTATTATTTTAAGAAGAGTCATTTTAGTCTACACTACAGCTCAACACCGAAGCGAAGCGAGGGCGGGCCACTAGTCACTCATAATTGCGTTTCTCGGCTTTGTTTACAATTTTAAGTTTATCATTCAACAAAATCACTTTATTTTTTCGTTTTAACATTTTGAGGGAACAACGTAAACCGCAGGTAGGGACAAGCGCACATGTGCGCTGCAGCCATTGTCGTTTTCGATGGAATTACAAACAATTCCATCGAAAACAATGACGCTTTGGCTTTCTTTGTTTACAAAAAAGGATATGGTTTGGCTTGAACTTTGAGTTGCGAGTTTTGAGATGTGTATTGAAATATTATTGTAAATAGTCTCGATGGCGCAAGTGTTATTTAGCGCGTTCGGCTGCGATCGTTAAAGTTAAACAACTTTCACAGTGGTCGGTCATTGGATGGGTGACCAAAAATTTATTTATATTATAATTTAAGTTGTTGTTTTTATATTTCTATATGTTGAAATAAAATATGTTTATTATGATTCAGATAAGTACATACATACCTAACGTATGTACACAGCGGAAGGTCGACTTTAGACGTAAAACTTGAGTAATAAGTAGCCACTTAGAGAATTTTTATTTATTGATTTTGTTTGATAAAACATAATGAAACGCATATAAATAGAATGCTCATTTATAGAAGTTTTTTTAACTGTAAATAAAAAGGCATTGTATAGTAATTTTAGAAAAAACTGTGCACAAAACAATGCTCATAACTTTTTGCGTGAGTTTGATGTCTGATCTTGAAAACTTGGTAATTACTGTTATATTATTTGCTAATACGATACAGTTTGGTCGTGATATTCAATATATGTTAATTACTGATATTTCAAACGAAAATTTGCTAAGTTATACCTTATAATTATGACACAGTACAATTTCGAAAAACCGGGATCAACCCGCGCGAATTGCTTCCGTGGCGAAATTTTAGCGCTTTTTCAAACTCCAAAAAGTTGTAGTTTTATATTTACAATATTTATAAAAATTACCAATTTGTTTAGGGAATTTTATCTTTAATCTAATAAAAATATTTTTTTAGTAAAAATGACATTTGGTAGCTAATATATTCCATCTTTACTACAAAGTAGTTAATTTTTCAATTCTTCTAAGAACAAGCTAATGTTTCCGCTCCAAATATAAATAAGTCGTAAAAAATACGATAAGATCGAGTCGAGTGTCAAATGGCGCGCTCAAATCTTATGTGCGTTGACCTCTACGGTATCATATGCGCGAGGCCGCGCGGGGCCCTCATAGGTTAAGGACCAATTTTTAACCAAATCTGGTGTATGAAATAGGATTTGAATCATTTTTATAATTAATTTAATTATTAAACATTATATATTAAGTATATACAGTGAAACCTGGTTAATTGAGATCTCAAGGGACCAAGATATATGTACCAATTATTGAGGGTATCCAATAATCCAGTTTTCCATTAAACAGGTTTAAAATTATAGTTGTCTTATTTACAGCGGCCCCGCTTACAGAGGTCGAAATGTGCCGTTATTCCATTTTTAGAGTACTGACAAACAAAGCATGCGCGAAAGACGACGCGAAATGTATGTAAACAAACATGTCAAACGTGTTACAACCTGATTAATTAGTCTCAATTATAGAGGTAAACATCGAAAGAGTCTTAGAATTCAAATCTCATTTAACCAGGTTCAAAAAGTCCCATTAACAGAGGTAATTTAATGAAAAAGACCGGGACCTTATTGCAACTCTCAATAATAGAGTTTTCTCACTTATCCAGGTCCCACTTAACCAGTTTCACTGTATTATACCCACAGTGGAATATAGAATCTTCTATTTTTGGGAGTTGTTAAAATTAAAGGACATTTCTATTCTTGAAACTTTGTCATGACTGTATTGCAAAACTAAACAATGTGCAAAGCTAAAAGATTTTGTCAATATCGTTTTTATTGATTATAAACAAAGGGAATAAATATATTGCGTAACAGACCAGTTGATGCAAAATTCTGAAATGACATTTAAGGTCTCTACTGACCACCGTTTCATACCATGAACGTGCTAGGACCGTATCAAACACAGAAACTGACACGAAACGGCTTGCTATGCCCACTGAAACGGATCGACGGCGTATAATGCCCGTATGTTGCCGGTGTGCACCTCGTATGATGCCCGTATGCAATCCGTATGTTGCCTTTGCGTAATTTGTATGACGTCTTCACCAAAATCGATAAGAAGCTGTTTCATTCTTATATGTTGTATTGGTAATGGACGTCTGCGGAGTGCTATCAAGTTTTAAATACAATAGGTATGGTTAGACAACTAGCAATGATTGCCATAATATTGGATGAGGAAGAAGAACAGAATCAAAAAAACCACTCGACGCTACTGGATTCACGATTCTATAAAAGAACGAAAAACTGAAGGAGAATTTTGGACGTTGTATAAGCACTTAGTTGAAGATGTACAAAAGTTCTTTCAGTACTTTCGGCGTTTAAGACGCCTATATAACGGTCATCATATGGTTCTAACCCGTATAGTCACCGTTTTGTTGCCTGCGCGCATCGGTTTTGCAACGTCGCGTGCCATGCGCGGAGCGTATCGGCACCGACAAAATATTCTCGCCGACAATAGTAGCCGCTCCGTGCATGGCACGCGACGGTGCTGGTCTGTGACGGAACGGGCTAGTGGGTATTGTCTCATACTTTTTAATACAAAGAATATTTCTTTGCCTGACACGTTCATAGCATGGTCATGGTATGATACTGTGTAGTGGGTAGAGAGACCTTTAGTCTAATACTGATTTGAAAAAGTGACATCAAGACCTTAATTTTTTTAAGGTTTGATTAGGACTAGAGATGCTAAATATGAAAAAAATATCTATTTTTTTACTACAATACATAATTCAAAAGATTAAGGAAGTTACTGTTTAAGATTAATGCTTATTAAATGAAGCATCTATGTTTTGTCTCTGTTCTTTGATTACAATTTGCATTTGAGTGGTATGAACAAAAAACACTGTGTAACTAGTCTAATTAATTTTTTTAACAATGTAGAAATTACAAGTTTCTTTATTGAAAGCCCTCTTTTAAGTAAAATAGTACCTTTAGGAGAGGATCCCGCTCCTTTAAAGGGATAAGAGAAGTGTGATAGATATTTGAAATAACCAAGTACCGTTTCAATAGGTGGTGGTGCTCAACCTGGTGCAGCAGGCGACCCAGGTAGTGCAGTGGTTGGTCGAGGTTCCCGTCGCGGTGGTGGAAGGGTGCTTCCCGAGCAAATGACAATCCTCAGGACACGGCCCACTCATGTCACCACTAAGAAAGGTATGTTATACTTGGTTAGAATGCTGCGCATGCAAGCGTCGAGAGAATTCATTTGGGCCTGTTTGCAGGAATTTTGCTAAATCTCAATTTAACTAAAACAAGATTCACCCCATCCCCTGATGTCAAATCAAGATTGACATTTTAACATTTTTCTATGGATTAGATCTAGTTGCAAATTTTTAAAAATCTATGTTTTGTATCTATAGGTACTTCGGGCACACCAATTGATCTTTTGGCAAATTATTTTGCTGTGGAAACAACACCGCAGTGGCGTTTGTATCAGTACCATGTAGACGTCACCCCAGAAGAAGATAGCACTGGTGTGCGCAAAGCTTTGCTCCGTGTGCACAGCAGAACCCTGGGAGGGTATGTACTGACATACATTAAGGAGAAATTATTTATCCTTAAAAAGAAACTAATTTTTCTCATCAAATAACTTGTATGTTGTTATTAAATTACAGGTACTTATTTGATGGCACTGTGTTATACACTGTGAAGAGGCTTCATCCTGATCCAATGGAACTATATTCGGAGCGTAGAACTGATTCAGAGCGCATGAGATTGATGATTAAGGTAAACATCCTTTAATATAGTAAAATGGTATTTCAAATTTGTACCTCCAGTATTATCATGTTTATGTAGAAAAATACGCCGATTTTATTATCCACTTGTACCACATAAAAATATTGTTAAGACCTATGCCAGACAGATGTAATCCAACGTACCAACCAAGGTGACCTTGCCCGTTGCCATCCATCTAGACAAAGGATGTAATTCAAATTTTGATTTGACCTTCAACGTCCTTGGTTTACGGGCGCGTGATTACATCCACGGTTGGAGCGCGCGGATTACAACCGTTTGGCCGACGGATAACATCCAGCCAAAGGCAGTTGCACTGTGGCAGTCAACGGGTGCGCACGTATGCATGTAAAAAGTTGGACAAGTTTGAATGGCTGAGAATCATTCGCTGTTGTAACCAACGCTTCATCCACATTCTCCTTTTTGTTGTTTTTCGTCGTCTATTGCATACAAAACTGTTAAGGCAAAGCCCACATTTTGAAATTTAGACAAATTTGGAGCCATTTCTACAACACTGCTAATACAGTCCGCGCATGATACAAGTGCATACGTGTTTTCACGCCAGAAGACTGTTCGCGACTGCGTGTTGCGCGGGGATTACATCCGTGTAGCCGAAAATCATAAGACCTATTCCACACGGATATAATCCAGCGTTCCAACCAAGGTGACCTTGGTGTGAAGTTAGGTCACCACAGCGAATGATTCTCAGCCATTCAAACTTATGTCCTATTCCCTATACTTTTCGAGTATATCTCCCACGCATTTTTTTTGATGAGCATCATTATATGATTCCGACGTAATTTCCCATAAGCATGGGAGATCTCTATAGAGATAAATTAGTTCGCTAGTAATATCGCATTCGCGACTCTGGTCTTCGGGCGACATTTTTTACATGCATACTGGTTGGATGTAATCCGCCGGCCAAACGGTTGTAATCTACGCGCTCCAACCGCGGATATAAACACGCGCCCGTAATCCAAGGTATTTGTAAAGTATAAAAAAAATACAGCCGTTTTGATGAGTACAAGTACCTGACAGGTAAACCGAAAGGTGTGTAATATATATATATATATATAAAATAAACTTTATGCTGTATGGTTGAAATGTATATATGTTTGTCTAAGCGATTTTAAGCAAGTAGGTAGAATGACAGGTGCTTCCGGCTAGCATAAGTCTTGACAGGTGCAGGGAAAGATGCTTTGGGAGTGCGAGTAAGAGGCGTAGCATTAAAGCACATATTATTGATGCAAATTAAATGATGTAGAAATATAAGCTTTTTTTTATTTATTATGATAAAATGTACAGAAGTCTTTAAATTAATTAATTAATCTTCATCATCATATGGTTTTTCATTGCCTTAGCTAGCATCCCACAACCCAAGCTCTACAGTGCTTACTTTGGGGCTAAGCTAATTGGAGTCAGTGAGGGAAATATTTATTTATTTTATTTGCAGTCATCTGTCAGTCATTGACAAATCGCGCCTAGGTAATAACGACCCTTTATACGCAGATTCCCTTTTTCAAAATAGATTTTCACCAATTTTTGTTGAAGTTAATGAGATTTTGATGGGGGAGTCTTTTTAAGTACCTATAATTTTAGTTTTTTTGACATGTTTTATAATTCCTTTTTTCTTATGATTTTATTTATTTTTTAAGCATTTAACTGCTAGATGTTTATCTAAAGAAAAATTTACTAGAAAAAAACTTCTTTTTTAAAGCATGTAACTAATAATATGGTTTTCCTTTTTTTGGTATAAATTTGGGCAAAAATCAAAGTTCTCCTTTCATCACTATGCTTATACTCAAAGATGTCAATTTAAGGAAGAAATGTACCTTGAGCAAATCAAAGTTGAACGTTGATGCAATTTTATGTCATTCTTAACTTTACTGTCCAGACTGGCTTAGACTGGCTTATTGAATTTGTAACCAGATATGGTACAGTTGGATTTCTTTTGTTTTAGCTTGTCCATGACGTGAGTCCAGGAGACTACCATTACATCCAGATATTTAACATCATAATCCGGAAATGCTTCAATCTTCTGCAGCTGCAACTTGTGGGAAGAGATTTCTTTGACCCTGAAGCAAAGGTATGTTGATAATATAAAAATACTGTAAATATTTTTTGTTAAAATCTCATATTATCATAGAACTATTGAATTCTTAATGGGTTTCATTTGTCTCAGAATGTCATCTTATCTGTACACATTAAATAAATAATAAATAAATAGACTTACTATATAGGTATATCTCTTTATTTTAGGTTGACGTACCCGACCACAGATTACAAATCTGGCCAGGATACAAAACGACCATCAACCAATATGAGGATAAACTGTTGATGGTCACTGAAATAGCTCACAAGGTAATTTTTAACAAAATTAACTTTGCTATAATCACTAGAGAAAAAATATTTATTTTTCTTTTTATAATTTAGGTGTTACGAATGGATACAGTCCTGCAAATGTTGAAGGAATATGCAGATAACAAAGGGCAAAATTATAAGAAAATCTTTTTGGAGGACATAGTTGGTAAATTATCTTCTTTTATTTACGTTTTGCATTATTATTTTAAATTTATTTATTCAAGGTTGGTATATTAAGTTTAGTAAAAATTTTGTTCCAATTATAACTTATGTTATTATTAATAGAACATTTTTTTAACCCTTATTATAGGTAAAATTGTGATGACTGATTATAACAAGAGAACTTACAGAATTGATGATATTTCTTGGAATGAAACTCCTCAATCAACTTTCAAAATGAAGGAAGAAACAGTTACATACATGGACTACTATTATAAGGTACAGTTGTGTTGGATATGAAAAATAAATAATACAATAATAATTATAATATTGGCTTAACTGAGTTAAGCCGATGTCCTCGTGATTTCATGCAAAATTGCCTGCGCGGGTCTCCGTAATGGAACAATTCTGTATGAAACCGCGTGGACGTCTGCTTAATGCAGTTTCAGTCCTTAAATCACACCAGTGTGCTATGTATGCTGTATGCTATGTACATAGCAGAGCTAACTAAACAATCACGGGTTAAGTGCATTAAAAAAAAATTCGCAGAACAGAAAAAAGTTTAGACCAACTAAAAACTACATTGAACTGCAAAAAGCAGAAATTAATTCGCATACCTTTCAATGATCCATGGTTTCTCTTCATAGAAATACAACATTAGGATCCAAGATCCGAGGCAGCCCCTACTCATATCACGTTCTAAGCCTCGCGATATCCGCGCCGGTATGCCGGAATTAGTGTACCTGGTGCCGGAGCTGTGCCGCCAGACCGGCATCTCGGATGCCATGCGCGCCAACTTCCAGCTGATGAAGGCCCTGGACTCGCACACCAAAATCGGCCCCGACGTGCGCATCAAGAAGCTGCTCTCCTTCAACCGACGCTTCACGCAGACTCCGCAAGTTGTTGAGGTGAGTAGAGAAAATGGAAATAATAATATGGCCATAGACTTGCACACCAAAATCGGCCCCGACATGCACATCCAGAAGCTGCTCTCCTTCAACCGACGCTACACGCAGACTCCGCAAGTTGTTGAGGTGAGGAGGGAAAATGGAAATAATAATATTTCCCTGGACTCGCACACCAAAATCGGTCCCGACGTGCGCATCAAGAAGCTGCTCTCCTTCAACCGACGCTTCACGCAGACTCCGCAATTTGTTGAGGTGAATAGTGGAAATAATAATATGTAATAAAGTAACGTTACCTTAAATCCAATATGGCGGACTTAAAAAGTTGGAGGTCTAATATTTTTTACATTTTCCTATAATATGGGTATCTAATGAAAGGGCTTCCTGAGAAAAACTAGAAAAATAAAGTGACGTTACCTTAAATCCAATATGGCGGGCTTAAAAACATTACACACTAAGCTTTTTGTGCTTTCCTACAATATGGATATCAAATGAAAGGACTTGGTTTGTCATAAAGTCTCGCGACAAGCTTTTATATTATATAAATTATGTAGTGACTTTATAATTTCATAGTAAAAGTTATAAAGGAAAATTTTATTTTATTCTTTTTAGATCATTTAAATCAAAGCTTGTTTTTAAAAAAGTTTTGATCCTTTTCGCGATTCGGATAGGTACAAAGTTTGTTCAAAATGTATCGCAAAGGACATTGGGCAAAAATGTCCGCCACGGCTTAACTATATTTGATTGAAAGGTATTATAGTCATGACCATCTGTACCAAAGTACATCAAATTCCATCCTGCGGGCTTTAGTTATTTAAAGTTAAATAGGTACAAATACTATAACGAACAAACATTAATAAAACAAGGGAATTCAATTAGTTCGTTAGTTCGACTCTACATAGGGTGCTCAGGTATTATGGGAGTACTTCACAAGGTACAAGGATGCCCCCTTATGTTATTCTGCCGCGCTAGAGTAAATCCAAAAATCCCCCCATGGATTAGTGGTTTTCAAACATTCTGTTTGATGTGGTAAATTGTCTTCTATGTAAAACGGAGTGACCACAAATCACACCAAGTTGTATATGTTTTGCAGAAAACATGATTCCAGTTCATCCATACTAATTGACAAAACCGATAAGCGTGTTTCAATATCCAAAGTGTGTTAGATATAAATCAATCAAGCGACAGGGAGCGCAAAATCACAATGAAGTAAGACGAGTAGACTATTTGCAACTGTGCAAGCCCTTCAACCCCTCTAAACCGTTTTGTGGTGTCTCAGTAAGTGTAAGCGCAGGATGGTCAGCAGGCTTTCTCGTATATGTGGTTGTATAGTACAATATGGCATATTATTATGGTTACAAATAATATAAAATAAAGGTACTAAAAATGAATTTATTTAGCTACTTAAATATGCCCATGTGTCATATCTTTTGACTACCAGCCCCTCTAGCATGACCACCGAAACGGGATATGATAAAGCGATATATCGACATTAACTGTCAGACTACTGTCAAACTCCATAGTAGTCTGACAGTTAATGCCGTTAGATCGCTTTATCATATCCCGTTTCGGAGGTCATGCTAGAGGGGCTGGATATTGTTTTACGGTGTCGTAATAAAAACGCTAGTTTTTCATAGGTCTATCGATCCATACTAATTACATTGTTGGCAGAGCTGGGTGTGCTTTGCTCGTTGTCCTTTTGGATCCACGAGTTATAATGCGATTCAAATTAGAATAGGAAAGCCAATGACCTCCATATGTCAAATGACGCTAGAAAAGTACGGTTTGCAAAAAATCTTGGAACTCTTTTTTAGCACTCGGCTAATTCTAGATTAATAAAACCAAACATTTGTAAACAAACGACGCTGCATGCATGACGACGATGACAACTCCGGTAGTTATGTAGAGCTGAGCGGAATTGAAGAGCTAGATTCCGATTAATATTTTTACTCACACAGTCATAAATGTTATTAAAAATCGGTGGTTCTTTTTTCTCAATCTTAGTAAATAAATTTTATAAATAAAATCTGATGTTTTTTCTCACTTAAACTTAGTAAATAAGTTTTATTTAAAAAAAAACCTGATGTTTTTTCTCACTTAATCTTAGTAAATAAGTTTTATCGAAGAAGACTTTTATTGCTCACTCTACCTATTTTGTTTCAATTGACAGCTTTGACATCACAAAATGGCGCCCAGTCGATCCTATTCTTAGTTGAATCGCATTATACGTATATTGGATTTTTCGATGTGGTTTCGCTTCGAGTTGGCCATCGATGACCGTTACAAAATGTGCGAATCACAGCAGGCACATCAACTGTATAATAGGGTCTGTCTAGGAGCTCGGTGCGGTGAGGCGGGAGACCGGCTTGCTCGAAGCGAACGCCTAGAAATTAAAAGTACCTGATAAATTAGCCTAAATGTTGTTTTAAAAAATTTAATTATCGCAATTGGATGTGTTACGAGGAAAAAAGATCCTATGGCACAACTGGTTGTGCAATGCAGTTGGTACATGAGTACGACGCGTGCTATTCAATTCTATGAGCTATTTAGGAATGGACAATCACTATTGACACAACATTGAAAATACACAATTTCAGCAAACAAATTAATATTATTATTTTTATTTTACAACTAAGCTATTCTGTTACTTGCTACTACAACCTGAAAACTCCACACAACATTAACATGAACAACTTTATATGATATAATTTGGGCAGTAGTAATGAATTGTTCGCTTACTTCTCAGGAACTCGCAACTTGGTCTCTCAGACTATCAAACAATCTGATAAAATTCAAAGGCCGTCAACTCCCCACGGAAAATATTGTACAAGGCGAAGACGCGAGATACCCCGCCGGCGATACCACCGAGGGCTGGACAAGGGACATGAGGTAGTTTATTGGTATAATTCAATATGATTGTTTTTTATCCACATAAAGGTACTCTTATCGCCGAAAATGACTTCAAACGCGACTCCAAACGACGCCACTCGACGCGTTTTGAGTTAAATCAAATGTACTTATTATTTTCTATGATCAGATTCATATTAGGAACATCTGACGCGTAGCGATGCGCACACTGATCACAGAATATACGCGTCGGGTGGCGTTGCGTTTCAAAAGTCTGCCATTACTCTTCTGTAATTGACTCTTTAAAATTGTTTAGCTGACCAAATTGCGATTGTATGTTTTGGTTTTATTAAAATAAAATAGGTACCCCCTCAGTTCACAAATTCTATATAAAAAAAATACTTGAAATATTTCAGATCTAAAAATCTTCTATCCATTGCGAGAGTACAATCTTGGGTAGTAATAACACCGGAGAGACAACGTCGCGACGCAGAGGGATTCGTTGATTTTATCATCAAGACTGGTAATGGGTGTGGCTTCAGGCTTCCCAAACCTGATATTGGTAAGCAAGCATATCTTAATAATTATGGCTGAATTATATTTTTGCAACGCGACTCTTGTTAAGTCAAATCAAATGTTCTATTTTCTATGATCAGAATCACATTAGGAACATCCGTGACGCGATGCGCACACACTGCTCATAGAAAATACGCGTGTGTCGCGTTTCAAAACTCTATTTCGGCCATTACTTTTTAAATCAGTTGACCATTTGGTTTTTATGACGAATTTTTTTTACAGTTCCAATTCAAAGAGATGGGCCCATGGATTATGCTAACATGTGTGAAAACGTCATTGCGCGAAAGAATCCAGCGATGATACTCTGTGTCCTTGCTAGAAATTTCCCTGACAGGTAATATAAAAAAAAAACATTAACACAAAAGTGAGTTCAAAAATATGATCTCTAATCACCTCATTTTGGTTTGTCTAGATATGAAGCAATTAAAAAGAAATGCACAGTGGATAGGGCTGTACCAACACAGGTGGTGTGTGCTAGAAATATGACAAGCAAATCTGCTATGTCTATCGCTACCAAAGTAGCAATCCAAATTAATTGCAAGGTAAGTACTTTTTGCCATTAGTATAAATGTCATTTATACGAATATATTATCCTCGTAAGTCCCCGCGTACTTGTATAAGTACAAATAAAGGATAGTAGTTCAGACCTGATATTTTAACTACATATATGGAGTGCGTACCTAATGTACTTGCCGAAGTACAAATTTTTAATTCCCCATTTACCGGGTAGTTTTTTTATAACGGCAACACAGACATAGTCATTCTCATTCTATATTCCATGGTCGATTCCGCCCTGTTTGACAGGTAACGTCAACTAATAGTGTCAGTGTCACTTTTTCGCAAGATGGCTACGCGGTCGGGACGACGACCAGCACGAGGTAAGATTATCTGTTTATATCCAATAAATCATTTGTTTTTTTCTTTTGTTTATAAATGAATTAGTGTATATAAATTCTGAATATTTTAAAATGAACAAAATTTAAAAGATGACTGTAATTTTAAGGAGATTTCTGATCGGTCAAAATAATATGTACTTGACGTGGTACGTTAGGTGCTTGTTACATAAATATTTGTACTTGTGGCGGTACGTTCGGTCTATATTACAAGTTCATCTCCTAGAAAATTAAAATAAAAACTATTTTTTGTCGTGTTCAGTTGACAAAAATGTTAAATTATAGCCTATTACCATTTATTTTGATCTCTTATGCTTGACTGTGATTTCGCTATATAATGTCATATAAGTAGTACGTATGGAAGATTGTTTTAAATTTCAGCGTTTTCTATGTTATTTAATAAGTAGGTATAGTGATGCCGTTATTCTCTGATTAAGATAAGATAATGGCCTAAATTGTCATTGAGGCTGAGTTTTTAATTGTTTTTTTTAATGAAGATTGTTTACGTTGTAATAAAATGATGTTAAGAGGAAAAATATGTTTTGTTTCGATACTAAATAATTTTTTTAACTTTTATTACATTGTTTTATTACACGGTGTAAAAACCTAATGTACTCACACAAGTACAAAATATTTTCAATAAATTTCTTCTTAAAAAGGTGCTTTACATAATAAACATACCGTAAAAAATACAGACAACAAGACCTCACTTCAAAAATTACGTATAAGCGTTTTTTCTTGTCTCGGTCTGAAGTACTATTCTTGATTTGTACTTGCTATAGTACATCCGTTAGATATGACTACTGCTGTTAAAAAAACACGGGACTTACGAGGTTAAATTATTTGTGTTATTTTTATTAAGGAAATACTATTTTTTAGACTTAGGGACACACTCGCGAGAAGTCAATTAAATATTCTTATTATATTGCTGTCTTTGAGTGCAGATTTCAGTGAATGTAATTATCTTTCTTTTATCTTTGAGTTTTCTGATTATTTTTGCCTTTGTTAGTTCTTTATCTGCTCAAAAACTTAAATGATTGCTTATTCACTTTACAGGGCTGTAAATTTTATAGCCTTGTACCCCAAGCACAAACAACTAGCGAGGAAGTATTGGTATCGGCATGTCAGTATCTATTGGTATTCTAAAAAGCCAATATCCTTAGCACGAACAAATATCGAATTCGAATAGTTAGCGAGTACGAAATGTCATTGTCTAATGTTGAACAGCAACGCCATGATGGACGTAACGAGAACTAATAATCAGCACACATTTGACAATGAACACTCGCAAACTATTCGAATTCGATAATGGTACGTGCTAAGGGTACAGTTTAATCTTACGTTCGGTAAGCTGCTTAGTTTCCATAGAAACGGACGTTGGTGATACGTATACGGGATGGTCAAAGTTCGTGCTTGGGCTACAGAATCTCGGTAAAATGAATAAATTATGTTAAACAATAGACTAGTGCACTCATGTCAAATTGCACTATACAAATGTTTATTTCTTGTAATGTTTGGTAGGAGGAACCTAAATACATCGATTTCACTTCAGAAAATTAGAAGATGGCTGTAGTAATTTCATTTGAAAAATGTTTTTTTTTTTCTTATGCTTTTTGAAGTGAAAACTTCTCTAGCGGCGTTGTACAGTTTTTTTTGTTAGGGTAAAAAATGTTAAACTCGCTTCAGGTTAAACACGTGGGCTGATCGCATCATGACACACAATAAAATTGGAAAGGTTGTTGACTTTCAATATATTGGACGAAACATAGTAAAATTTTATTTTACCGTATTATAATAATAAGTCTCATCTAGGACGTCCAGGTGGCAACTTTATTGCAGATGAAAAGTATGTCTAAAACCAGGAGGCCTACTCTATTTCAACGAAAAACGAAATTTCGATCGAAAGGACAATGTAAAAATTGGCCTAAGAACCAACACCAATTTGGCATTTATGATAATTCTTAGTATATTTTTTGTGATAATTATCAGTACCGAGTAACTGCGGGTTACTTTGACCTAAAATGTGTACTTCTTTTTTCAAATTAAATTGTAGCTTCTCTTTGTGATGAATATGTCACGTTTATATCTTTCCATTGTGAACTTTAAAGTATAAGTTACAAAGTTATCATACAAAAATAGGAAAAAATAATATTTAAGGGTTCTTAAATATATTTTTAATTTTGGGCCAAAGTTGGCCTATAAGAAGGTTACTTTAGCTCATTGACTTTTCTCTGTGAAAAAAACTCATTTTAAGCTATGTTAGGGTTAAGTAACTCTTATAACAGATCACCATTAGCATACTGAATACACAAATAGATGTTTTTACCCAAAAATAATTAAGTTAAAGAAAAAAATGTAAACTTACCGAGAACCACAGTTTTGAGAAAGTTTGCACATGAATTTGCGAACTATTAACAATAACAACTTGATACCGGAACGATGTCGGTAAAACAACACCACACTACGCGCCTATATGGCTATCTGTGATTTTCAACTGGAACTATTACGGTCATCCAAGACATACTGATGGGGCGGCAAGTTCAATATTTTTTCTGATTTGGGACAAAGTTACCCGCCCGAGCTAAAGTAACCCTCACTTACGGTATTTAGAGTGTGACGGACACTTCCGGACTTAAGTAAGCTAAATTAAAAAGTAATCTGAGACAATAAATACCATTTTATGTGTATAATGACAGCGCTGCAAACAAAACACCAATTACAGAGCATAATGCGACTCATTGGCGCACAATGCCGAATTATGCTGATGCTTAATTGGAACGTGAATTAGTTTTCAAATGCACCAGCAGAGTGCGCTAAGTCAATGTTTGTACCTTCATCCAGACTTATATTTATTTTTTATAACACAGTTTGAATTAACTTTGATTATTTTAAAAGAACTACAATGAAACGAAAGCTTAAATTTTTCAACAAAAATTGCACGCATCACACGAAAACATTAGGATCTTTTGAGAGTGCTCGATTGTGCGAAGCGTTGCTGTAGTTGAAATATTCAACGATAAGCATTATACAATTCGCTCTAGTGCTGTAATTGGAAAACTACCCTTATTAAGCATGACAAGGACAAACTGTTGTCAAGTGAAGGGCCGGCATAAAACTCGTTACTCTGTGGTTGTGGTGCAGGCAGTTTGCATTCGTAGTAATCTGTGGCATTCGTGCATTCCAAAGAGTAGTTTAATATACCGGAAAGTGCATTCTCGTTTCGTATTACCTGTTGTGTGTGTTCATTTGCGATTGTTTTTCCTTTAATTTAACTATTTTGGCTATCTAATATGCCATCAATGTTACCAAAGAGAAGAGCCCTTATTACCAAGTGCTAGTGAACCTGTGCCACAACATACTGAAAGGATCATACTGCCTAATTATTCAAGAACACAACACTCGATACACATTCACGCTGCATATTTACACAATATACATGTGATATACAAATAAATACAATATACAATATTATACAACTACGTGATAAATAGTCAATAAATAAGAAGCAAAACTATAGTACGATTATTAATTCGAGTCAGTAAAATGACAAGTGCAACTGTCACTGATACAAAAAAGGGTGACCCGCTACAATAGTGATGTAGACTTAAGACATTTAGTCATGCTTTATTTTATTAGGTATCAAAGCATTTTCTTTTATTGTAAATATACAAAAGCTGGAAAAAATGTTTAAAGAGGTTCAGAGGAATTGACGACCTCCGTGGTCGAGTGGTTTGTACGCCGGGTTTCATGGTGTCGCCGACTCGAGAGGTCCCGGGTTCGAATCCCGGTGGGGGCGGATGTTTTGTGTGATGAATACGAGCATTTGTTTCCAGTCATGGATGTTTAATACGTATTTCTATATGTATTTCTGTATGTATTCTATCCGTTACCCTAGTATCCCATAACACAAGCCTTACAGTGCTTACTTTGGGGCTAGGCTAATTGGTGTGAGTGTTGGAAATATTTATTATTATTAAAAGTAAAACAATATTTGTTTCTTAGGTTTTCACGCACATCACTCATTAAATAAAACTAGTTTTTACGGGTTAATGCACGCAACTTTCGAAAAAAAATTCTTTCGAAGGTAGCTCGACAAATTAAATAAAAGTTTGATTCTGACGGCGTAGCCTGTAAAGGCTACGAAACGTCAATAAATAAATAAAGTTTCGTGCATTAACCCGTAAAAACTAGTTTTATTTAAGTAAAACAATACAAGTCATTTTATACGTTTTTATTCATTACTGTTGATATTGATTCCGACTCAGTTACATTTATAATGAATGAATCTACACATTCATCTATGATGTGGTCGAGTTGCCACATTTTGTCTTCAACTTGTATGGCATGGTTGATGCACTGTCTCCAATTTTCAGGTGTCACTTCCTTCAGACCTTCTTCAAATAATTTTTTTACGTCTTTTGTTTTAAAAGTTTTATTGTTCCTGGCGACGTACCCCTTTGCTTGAGCCCAAACTAACTCTATTGGGTTGAGCTCGCAGTGATAGGGGGGCAGACGCAGGATTGTGACACCGTATTCAGCGGCTAACTCTTCCACAGCATACGTTCGTAATTAGTTTTTTTGTAATTTTACTATTTGTATTAATTGAGCCTTGATCATTGTAGGTTGATATTGAATGTGTTTTTCATCCAACCACTGAATAATATCAGCCTTCCGCCAGTGTGAAGTGGGGATACGCTCGACTTTTCTTGAATGGTACGTTGCGTTATCTAATACTAGCACCGCATTTGGCTTTAAATTTGGCAAAATGCTTTTAGGCCATTCCTCAAAACACTCGCGAGTTCATTTCTTCATGATAGTCCATACTATTTTTCTTCGATTCAAAAATAAGTAAACCGGCTTCTACAAATCCTTCATCACTGCCTATATGTGAAATTATTAGGCGTCGACCTTTACCAGTTGGGCTCTTTAGGCCTGTTGTCAAACCTTTAGAAAACGCTTGTTTGGAAGATTCTATTGTTGTATCCACCCAAACTTTACCAGTTGTATGACCTGTTAATACACAAAATCATATAAATAATATAATACTGACACAAATACATTTTGACACTGGAAAACTAATCACAAAATACATTTGTAAATAAAAATATTCAATTACCTTCATTAATCCAGGTCTCATCTTGATAATAAATTATTTTTCCTTGTCTCCGATATTCTTTGATTGCCGTCAAGTACCGTCTACGCCACAGAATTAAGTCTTGACGGTCTGTCAAGCAGCTGCGTCGTTTGCGACGGCCATATTTAAATTTTAAATGTTTTAAAACTGCTCGCATGGTACTCTTTGACATATTTGGTAGGTCAGGGTCATCATTTACAACCTGATGAACCTGTAAAATATTACAAGTATTCAATTTTTGTTAACAACAGCGAGACAATGACAATATGTATTAATTATTATTATGTATGTATGATGTACAATTATATATTTTTGTATTGTATTATAATTTTATAGATTTACATACCTTGGCAATAGTTGGAGGGTCCTTCTCATAAAAGAATTGGTGAACTTTACGACGTATCGCCGAAAAATCAAAATCATCAATTTTATCTTTGAATGTCAGTTTGGGGTCCAGATTTTTTCCGATTAGATAACTGAACTCCTTTTGTTCTTTCAGTATCCGATATACAGATCTAGTCGAAATTCCCAAAATTTGAGATACCGTCTTCACACACTCATCTTTCTTTGGAACATCAAAAGGTTTTGCTGCATTTTGATTCCATACATAATTATATTCATTGAGAACCATTTGTTTCTCACTCACAACAAATGATAAACGCTTTCTTTTTGGAGTGAGACATCCCTCTTTAGAGGTGGACGGTTGGGGATCCATCTCAAACACCAACGTAACAAAACAAAAACTTAACGTTAACAAAAACAACAAACGTAACAAAACTCAACAAAAAAATAACCAGTAAGAAATAAACAAGAAATTGCAGAGGACACTAAACACTTCTGACACCGTCGGAATTCGGGAGCAGAATGAAAAACAAAACGGCGTCCATAGCGTGACAAGTGATTACCATAGTGCTTCCAATAACCAAAAATTCACCGAGTCAACACAATGAGATATTTAACTTAATACTTAACAGTGTTTTATGTAATATTAAATAAATCTACTTACTGTGTATGTGTTTTGTTTAATTACCGTAAATAACATATTTTTATTGATAAATTTTATAAATGCAATTTGATATTGAATAAAAAAAATGTAATCTCTACTAACTTTTAATTGTAAAAACTCGATTCTATTTATTTATTTGGGACAAAAACCTGCAACATTGGAAATGTCATTTTACTGACTGGAATTAATAATCGTACTATACAGTTTTTATTTTATTCATGATTCCTACCTTCCTAACCAAGTTTTTCCTAATAGACATTCTTTAAAATCGCATCGAATAAAATGAATTTGTTGTAATATTAATTTACTTCATACTGAGTACATACTAAGTTCATAGGTTGACCTATTTTTCATTGAATATTAAACATAACCTCAAAAACGTTTTAGTTTTCCTAATAATTTAAGTTCTCAGAAGTGTCCGTCAATAATCTTTGTTTTTACAGTCATTTACTTACGATTTTGAACCTAGAAAATAATATTTCATGATTGTTGGTTCTTAGGCTAACTATATATGGACGCTGAACAATGTCCTTTCGCACGTTCCCTTACTCTGTTTCTACCTATTTCATTTCGAAAATACGTTCGTCCGAAAATAGTTTCAGATTTAAATTCTCTGAGCCTACTCTAATTCACAAAACTTTTGAACTAAAATTGAATTTGACAGATAAAATTGTTCGAAATTTTAACCTCAAACTGACGAAATGAAAAGTGTTACCTTTTCATTTTATGTTTTTTGTTTAAATTAAACCTAAAATTACTACTACAGTATTTTTAATTAAGGCTGCTTAGCGTGAGGAACATTTTTTAGTATGAAAAATTTACTACTGAATCAAATTTTTGTTTATTATTGTATTGCCAATACTTCAAAGTGTTACACGATAAATTTAGGTTGACATACATTCGATTGCATCAACTCTACAAATTAGTCCGCTAACACTGTCAAAAGAGGTTGTTTTAATGTAATCAAAAATGTTGTCATAAAATAATATTGTTTTTTTGTAAAAAATTATCTAAAAAGTATATAGAAAAAGAACTCGCAAACATAACTCATTCCATTCGTTCACGATAATTATCTGTGATTCCGAACTTTATGTGCGTGTTCAAAGATGAAATAGAGTAGTCACTGCCGAAATTTCGTTTCGGAGAAAGAGAGTAGAGCTCCAGGACGTAAACTATAATATGCCTACCAAATTTCATCCAAATCCGTTCAGTGGTTTAGGCGTTACAGCGTTACTAATAAAACAAGCTCACTTTTGCATTTATAATATTAGTAAGGATATGATGGGCGTAATATTTTTTTAATTATTCATGACCACGGATACAAGTCCTTCAGTCGTATAGATGAATAAAAATCTTCAATCTTCTTTTTTTTTATTTACATTAGAATGAAGGTGTGACACATTCTAATGTTTCATGGAGTGTTTGGCACGAAATGTATCGAGTTAGTTTGTTCGATAAGCTTAAGGTAGTCAACACTACAACAAAGTTCTCACGTCCATTTGATCGGAATAGTGTATATTTTAAGGATTCTACTAATTCTTCAGTTGCGCAGATGGTTGTAACACAAAATCACACCAATTTTAATAATAATTAAAATAAGACGCCAACCGCACTCTATGAAATCCCGCCAAAAACTCCGGCGTAAATTAAACGAGTATGGTATTGCAATCCTACAGCTAGGCGGCGCCCCTTGGACGGTGGTGATACCGTTGAAGACGATAATGGTGGTCGGCTACGACGTGTGCCACGACACGCGCTCCAAGGAGAAGAGCTTCGGCGCGTTCGTGGCCACACTCAACCAGCACATGAGCCAATACTATTCCACCGTGAACGCGCACACCTCGGGTGAGGAGCTGTCCGCCCACATGGGCTTCAACATCGCCCTCGCCGTCCGCAAGTACCGCGAGAAACACGGTAAGTATCGACCGTCTTAAAAGCCCTTTCACATTTTTGCAAAAAAATCGTAATTTCTGAGCGCCTCGTTTACCCATTTAGAAAAGATTTTGACTATTTCCAATAGAGGTAGATTATTCCTCATATTGTAAGTTAATGCAGAATATTTGCAACTACTTTACTATTTTCCTTTTTTTGTACTGATCGTTCTACTGAAGCCAGTTTACGGAAAAAAACGATAATATGCACAACTTCAAACGTCTCAATCTCTTAATAATGTTCAATAAATTAGATCAAATTAATTACTACTACATCAGAAATATGTTTTTGTTGTAACATAATTTATTAGAATTTTGATTTTCCATCTCATTAATTATCAAAAAAAAAACAACATCTAACCTCCGTGAGTTTTCCCAAAAAATAATGCAGGTTTACCTCGTATTTTGATATTGAATTACTATCAAAAACTTTCATAAAAATGTATATGTTATGGGCCAAATGATTAATGCGGGCAGTATGAATAATGCCCAGCCATATCGGACCAAGTGATTAATTACAATCTAAACTCACCGATATAGTATGGGCTTAACACTTAAAAAAAAGGTAAATGTGGCTTTACAACTTCAGTCTTTAATTCAGAACCGACTTGGTCAACCCCGACACGCCGTGGGCTTGGTCTGCCCTACCTCAAGAGTGTTTTTTAGAGCCCGGAGGCGCGGAGAGAGAGCAACCCCTGCCTGCTGTGACAAAGCTGCAAGCATCGTGCGACCCGTAGTGCCTGAGGCTGGTCCAACCAAATGGTGGTGGCGACCAACAAGCCGAAGGTGTGAAGGTTAGTGATGCTTGTGACTTTGTCACGCAAAGGCGGAAGGGCTGCTATTCCCGCAGCGCCGAGATAAGGCAGAAGTCCAGTACTATTCTTACTTCTGTAGTCCTTGCATCCTACAAAATTGGGAACCATAAATTCTGATCATTTAACAAATTTAATGAAAATTTCAAACAAACTGCATTGAAACTACTATAGGCTATAGTTTTTAAATGTAGCCCTTCGTAAATTGATCGAAGTGAAACCGAAGTCTGATTATTTAAATTTTAAAAATAAATACTAAACTATAAAACACGTTTTTATTATTACTCTACCCGATAATCATCGGGTATAATTGATTTCATTACTTGTAATGTTCGGTCTATCTAAGTAAGTATTCATTTCAAAGTATTAAACATGCTTTACATCACTGCCCAACAGGCACTGGGCATTATTCATAATGCCCGGGCAATGTGATGAATTGATTGGTTATAATCACATTGCCCGGGCATTATGAATAATGCCCGATTAATCACTAAGCCCATAACATATATATTTTTATAATTTAAGACTCGAAACATCACCCGTAAAATGCAATATGTGCTAATGCAAATCTACCTACGCGCCGATCAGTACGGCAGCGGCGCAATTTTGTAAAAGGGCTCTAAAGAGCACGTTTTAGGCACGGTAATATTATCTATACAGCCTACGCCTACGGCGCTACCGCTTACAGTATTTTAATTTCATCTACATAATTGATTTTCTTTCTAGTTTTGTGATTGTAAGTACAGTAAAACCTGGATAAGTGTGAAACCTATTATTGAGAGTTGCAATGAGGTCCCGGTTCTTTTTCATTAAATTACCTCTGTTAATGGGACTTTTTGAACCTGGTTAAATGAGATTTGAATTCTAAGACTTTCGATGTTTACCTCTATAATTGAGACTAGCTCAATTACCTGTATAAGTGAGACTAATTAATCAGGTTGTAACACGTTTTGACATGTTTGTTTACATACATTTCGCGTCGTCTTTCGCGCATGCTTTGTTTGTCAGTACTCTAAAAATGGAATAACGGCACATTTCGACCTCTGTAAGCGGGGGCCTCTGTAAATGAGACAACTATAATTTTAAACCTGTTTAACCCTAGATTCATAAACATTCGTCTCACAGACCGCAAAAATCACGTAAACGCTTATAACTTGTAGCACTTATCGCTATCACCAACCAACCCAGAGGTTTTGCATGAGACTAAAGATTAAATTTTTTATACTCAGGGCGCCGAAATACTGATATTTGGAGTGAAATAAAAATCTATAACCGCAGTGAACAAGATCTATATATATTGTCAATATTCAGAAGATATTTCAACATACACTCTTAATACTATTTATAGATATCTTTGATATATTTATATATATATAGCTTTTACAAACTCAAAGACTAAGATTAAGTGATGTACATATATTCAATAACATGTGTAGATGCTGATATCTTTAAGTTAACATTCTATATAAACATTTGGTTTTAGAAAATGACAAACAATGTGAAATGAAATTCAAGTTACTTATTTAATGACTTTACAATTTGCTAATTTAAATCCTTTATTACGTTCTAAGAAACAGAAATTTTGTTCTTCGGAGAATGCATTCCTTTATATATTTCCAAAGAAATTCCGAGCAGTTCTAATCAATTGGTTATTGTCTAGAAATTTTATTAGCTTCCTCAAAGGACCTAGAAATAATTACACACACTTCCTATAGTACAATTAAATGCCTAAATTGACCTACAACCTATCGAATTAAGTCATCATCATATCAGCCGTACGACGCCCACTGCTGGACACAGGCCTCCCCCAAGGATCTCCACAACGATCGGTCCAGCGCTGCCCGCATCCAGCGTTTTCCCGCGACCTTCACCAGATCGTCGGTCCACCTTGTAGCGGGTCTTCCCACTGAGCGTCGTCCGGCACGCGGTCGCCATTCGAGAACCTTCCCGCCCCAACGGCCATCGGTTCTCCTCGCTATGTGTCCCGCCCACTGCCACTTCAGCTGGGCTATTCTTCGAGCTATGTCGGTGACTTTAGTTCTCCTACGGATCTCGTCATTTCTGACTCGATCACGTAGGGAAACACCAAGCATAGCTCTCTCCATTGCCCGCTGGGCGACCTTGAGCCGTCCTATTAGACCCATAGTAAACGACCACGCCTCACTGCCATAGGTCGTCACTGGCAACACACACTGGTTAAAGACTTTCGTCTTAAGGCACTGTGGTATTTTGGACGCGAAGATGTTCCGCAGCTTCCCGAACGCTGCCCATCCGAGTTGGATTCGACGAGAGATCTCTTTCTCGAAGTTGGACTTACCTAACTGGATTGTGTGTCCTAGGTAAACGTAGTGGTCAACAACTTCAAGTGTAACGTTCCCAACATTAACTGGAGCGGGTGCAACATGGGCGTTGGACATGATTTTCGTCTTGTCCATGTTCATCTTAAGACCCACTCGCTGGGATGCGTCACTGAGATGCTCGAGCATGGTGTTCAGGTCTTCCAAGGTCTCCGCCATTAGGACTACGTCATCGGCAAATCGAAGGTGTGTCAGGTACTCGCCGTTGATGTTAATGCCGAATCCTTTCCAGTCCAGAATCTTAAAAATATCCTCCATCGCAGCAGTGAACAGTTTCGGAGATATAACGTCTCCCTGTCTCACCCCTCGCTGTAGTTGGATAGGATTTGAGCTCTGATTCTGTACTCGGACCGACATAATGGCGTTTTGGTATAGGTACTTTAACACTTCGATATACCTGTAGTCCACTTGGCACCTCTGGAGAGACTGCAGCACCGCCCAGGTCTCGATCGAATCGAAGGCCTTCTCATATAGTCCAGTCAGTATTGTCGCGAAATCCGTTTTTCCTCAAACAGCTGGAACTATGCTAAAAAGTTTCTTAAGATAGTAAAGAACACTTTACATAGAGAAAAAAATGTTTCCAACCCCGGGCAAGGGTGAAAACCACCCTTAATAATCTATTTTTCCAATTATCTCAAAAAGTATACGAGATACGGAAAAAAACTTCAAATGAAAATTGTAGATCTTTTTGAAATCTACAAAACATTATTCCACCCTCTTGCCCCTATTTTCAATAGGGGAGCCAATAATCGAAGTCAAAGATAACTTTTTTAACTAACTTTAACTTTTTAAGTATTGAATCTTTGACTTCGATTATTGGCTCCCCTATTGAAAATAGGGGCAAGAGGGTGGAATAATGTTTTGTAGATTTCAAAAAGATCTACAATTTTCATTTGAAGTTTTTTTCCGTATCTCGTATACTTTTTGAGATAATTGGAAAAATAGATTATTAAGGGTGGTTTTCACCCTTGCCCGGGGTTGGAAACATTTTTTTCTCTATGTAAAGTGTTCTTTACTATCTTAAGAAACTTTTTAGCATAGTTCCAGCTGTTTGAGGAAAAACGGATTTCGCGACAATACTGACTGGACTAATAGTCCACAAATGCTAAGCAAAGTGGCCGATTATACTCTTCGGTCTTCTGTATAATCTGCCGCAGCGTATGGATGTGGTCTATGGTACTAAAGCCTTTTCGGAAACCGGCTTGTTCGGGAGGCTGGAAGTCGTCGAGCCTGCGAGCGATACGTTTCGTAATGACCCTCGGAAACAGCTTGTAGATATGGCTCAGAAGCGAGATGGGTCTGTAGTTCTTCAGTAGGGTCTTATCGCCCTTTTTGAGGAACAAAATCACCTCGCTTCTGCTCCATGCCTTCGGCGTTTTGCCCTGGTGGATGATGGAGTTGAAGAGCTTCTGGAGGACTTAAAGTACCGGCGTACCGCCCGCTCTCAGAAGCTCTGTTGTGATTCCGTCATCTCCCGCCGCCTTGTTGTTTTTAAGCTGTTTGAGGGCAATTCTAATCTCGTACAGGCTGACGTCCGGGATATCCTCGGTATAATGTCGGGTAAGCTTGGCTCTAGGATCTCGAGCTCTGCTTTCGCCTGGTGTTCTGCTGGAATATAACTGCCTATAGAAACTCTCAATCTCCCTCAGGATTTCAGGAGTCGATGAAATGATACTACCGTCCTCAGTTTTCAGCCTCGTCAGTTGACTTTGCCCAATAGACAGATCTCTAGCGAACACTTTGGAGCCTTTGTTCCGCTCTATGGCCTCTTTAATACGCTCGGTATTAAAGTGGCGTTGCCGATGACGTAGTGG